ATAATCTTGGATTGAAGTGTGGAAGGTGACATGGGAGAAAACTTACCTTTCTATCTCAATTAGAACATGAACTAATGAATATTATTAATTTTATATACTCTACAAACTATAGGCTGTAAAGTGTCAAGTGCACTAGTAGGAAACTTGAGTTAAAGATATGAAAGCATTACTAGTATACTTCGTTTTATTACTACAATTCATGAATACAAATAGACTTGGAGAACCATTAGGATAGCCAAGGCTATGGAAGGTACTAACAGAGCATGCTTTGCTTAAATTAGTAAAATGAAGGCTAGGAGGGAGGAGTGTTGCTGTTATAAACATTTGTGGGGTGAATAGAAAGACCAGCTCTTTGAGTTCAGTGATATCAGCACTGGTAGAAGAGAAATTGGGATAAACTAGCCATCAGAACATACTTGGAAAACTGGAAGGAGGCTTTTGACTTAGAGCTCTGAAGTTTTCTAGAAGTTAGCAGAGATATTAGAGCTAGATATCCTGCTGCCATTAGCATGGAGTCTCAAAATGTCTAGTCCAATGGGTATTGTCAGCTACTGCTAATCTGAAAAGCTCTGCTTCTTTTAGAGAGTAAGAAGCAAAGCACATTTTTGTTTAAGATGACAAATCTCATGCAAAGTCTACCAAAGAACATACTTGTTCTCAGTCATGAAAGACTAGGAAAGCTTTCCGTGCAATGTGGTGTTAGTAAACACTGCCGTGACATCAGGCCTTATTCTTCTGTACCTGCCTTGTTGATCTTGAGTGGGAGATCTGGAGTCAAACAGCTGAAGGGCACCCTTGAGCAGTACACACTGATGGCAGCAGTGCAGCCTCTTTGGCTTGACTGCTCAGACTGACTCTGTGGATTCCCTGTGGCCAGATCTCTCTTGGATGATCCACCTTCCTGGCTGAGGAAACAAATGGGACTGACTAAGAAACCAGATGGCATTTTAAGAACTGCATCAGCTTGTGAGCATTTGGATTTCTGTTTCATTCATGGAGGAGGCTGAGTCCTGGCACAGCTAGCTGGAGACCTAGCCAGGATCTCTCTGCCTACCATTGAGTCTCCTTTGAAACAAGACTATTTGCAGGATGGGATAAATAATTACATCCCGTGTGGATGTTGCGGAGCTATGCAGTGGCAGCATAGAGATACATAGGTACACCTCCTATCAGGATGCCTGTGAGCCATTCCAGAACAACATTTTATTCTCATTTTAAATACTAGCTACATGAAAATACAAAGTTGATACCACTTTTCTTTAAGAAAGGTGATTTACCTGTTGGGGAATTTATCTGGCTCCAGTCACAGCAGTGAAAGTCTCTGGTGCTGGGAGTGTGACTGACAGTCTTGTAAATGGTCAGACTGGGAAGTTCCCTTAAAATACTGCTTGGTAAAACTTCTTATAATATTTTTATTGAAAGTATATTAATATATATCCTCTTATCTAAAAAAAAGTTTTTTTTTTCATAATCTCAAATTCATTATCATGCAAAGATTTTATTGGGTACTGGAGAAAAGTGGCATTGGGTTTGTATTTGCGCTTGAAAAGTTATGTTGAAGCAATGATTCTCAACTTGTGATCAAACATCAAACAAATACAGAATGAACAACAAATACTTTATTTAACTGCTTTGATTAGATTGTACAAAAAAGAGGACTGTGAAATTTATATTCGACACATCAATGCTTTTGGGATTTTCTTCCTATGATCCTAAAGGAAAAGATTAGGTTTGAAGACAGTAGATGATGTTTAGTCATTAGGTGGAAATTGATCTTATGACTTAAGCTACTGGAATAGATTGTTACTTTGACTTTTCATGAAACTTCTCAATAAATAGAAATTAGATTCTTTCTCATGTGTTGTGTGGATAAATCACTTTTTTAAACCTATAGAATTTTTTCCCACCTTAGAGGATAACATAATTGACTTCCAATTCAGGTTTATAAAGTTGTTTGCTGTTTTTAAATCTTTTTTTTTCTCCCAGTGGTTTGACTGACACACTAGGAAGATAAGAAAGAAATTCAATTTTAAGTAAATGGAGAGAAATCATATTTGCATGGAACATAACAAAACATATTTTTCATTATCTTTGTTCTGCAGCTGTAGTGCTCTCTGTTGCTCAAAAAGCACGTATTTAGTGAATGGGATGTTTCTGAAGAGAAAATGTATTTATGCTGAAATAATGGTATATGTATTCAAGTAGGAAAATCTATAAGTGATATTTAAGAGTCCTACATTTACCTTGCTTTTATAAAGCAGTGGCCACACAAAAGCATTTGCTTTTTAAATGATGTTTTGTTAAAGCCAGTAGGATTCTATTGTTTCGCATTTTTGCAACTACATATTCCGTTTTTGTACTGATTGATATGTGATAGGGTCGTCTTTGCCTAAGTCAGGGACTTGGAACTAGAGGATCTTTAAGGTCCCTTCCAACCCAGGCCTTTCTATGATTCTATGATACGTAGTTTCTCCTTTCTATTCACCTTTCCTGTTGTTCAGTGTTGACCAGCAAGGAAGCCCTGAGGTTGGAAGAGAGTTGTCTGTGACATTCTTTCGTCGCTGATCTGGTTCGCAGTGTTGTTGAGATTTTTCCGTGGCTAACTTAGTATAGATAGGTTTTGTTTGTCTTCATTTATTACAGTCAGTGCCACCTCGCTATAATTGGATTTGCCGTACGGATTTTTGCCGCTCCCTGTCTCCAGAACTGAAAATTCCGGTCGCTTGGCGTGCGAGGAGTTGCGCTGCTTTGCTCGTTGTTGGTCACCAGGGGTCACTGTTGGCCGCGACATCTCTGTGCGGGGTCGCGATAACAACAGGCGCAAACGCGGCTTCACTTTCTGACTGGGGGCACCGTTTTCGTCATTTTTAAGCTCTTCCCCGATCAAAGAATACTTAATCAATTGTTTATTTTAAAGCTCTTTTAGATTCAAATTAAGTGTTTTCTCCAGTGGTTTACCAAATTGCAATTTTACTGAGGTTACAGCTCTATTACAGTATTAATTATTAATGCTTAAGAAATAATATACTGAATTGTTCATACTCTCATTAGACCTCATTCAAATGCCATTAATCTTTTCTGAGTAGAAGGTATAATGAACTGTGGGAATTGAGTGTCTCCATCATTTAGTGAGTGGAAGGTAATTTGGATACAAGTGGACATCATTCTTCTCAGTGAACTAGGAAAAGCTGACAGCTGGTTAGGTACAGATTGGATGCCTGGTTTTTGTGTATAAGTAACTGTAACAAGTTGCCCCCAAAATTATAATAAACATTGGAAAATGTAGACTCGCTTTACTTCCACCCCCACCCCCTCCAAGAAAATATGTTTTAGAAATATGAACTTGATGTACATGACTTATTTAGCTTGTTTAGTAAACTTCAGCAGCTCTCTCTTCTAAATGTGTGTCTAGTCTCTCCTTGACACAGTGTAAATCTTTGCATTCAGAGCATCCTTTGCCAGGGGAGCATCCTTGCCAAGGAAATCTTATACTTTTTGCATGAAGAACTGTCTCCTCTTCCTTTGTTTTGAAAGTGGCTTCTTCAAGCTGCATTTGATGAATCTTGGTTCTTTATATTCAGAGAGACTATGGACTCTTCATATCCACTCTCCCTTTGTCACTTATTTTCTTTTTTCTCCATGTGAAAAAGTCAGTAGTTCGAAGGAATGTGATGACTTCTGTAATTGGAACATCCTTGTTACTCTGCTGTAAACAGTCTCCAGCTCTAATCTCTCTTTCAGTAGGACACACAGTTTTCTAAGGGTACACAAACCCCAGATTTATGCAGTAAGGTAACAGTATTCTCTATTCCGACACGACTTATTATTTTGACCCTTGCTGAGTGGTGATGTAATGCTTTCATGAACTATCCTAAGATGATCCTGAAATGTAGCTTACTTAGTTTTCAATTTAACTATGTAGAATTGTTCTGTGGTTCTTCAAAGGCTGATCTGATTCTCTGTGCCCTCCAGTAATTGCCTTTAGCAGCAATTTTTCTTCATTGTTCATCCTCTTTCAGGATCATGTTGTACAACACTAGTATGCCATCACTGATGGAAAAACTCTCAATTCCATGATTGATAATGCATAAAGTGGAGCACACTGGTGTCCTAAAAATTCAGTGTTCCCCATCTAGAAATAAAGCCAGTCAAGACAAGAGACAAATAGTACATGTGTTACCTTTATATTTTTTTTCTTTTGGTAGCAAAATTCTGTATATATTCAGGTTTTAAATAACAAGATCTAGAGCATAAACTAATGATGAAAAGATCAGAACAAATTAAAAAAAAACTTTACTCTTCATTATTTTAATTGTTCTATAACTAAAAACCTATGCGTTTTTCTGGCTTTTCCTTATTTAACAAAAAATGATTGGTTGAAATATATTTGAAAATAACATATAGCTATGTGTTTGGTGGCTTTGTAGAATGATCTATAAAATGTTATAAAATCTAAATATTCAAATACTTCTTTTGATAAAGTGCTTTATAGTGTGTTTTCCACTTGAGAAACAAGGCAGAATGGCATTGGCAAAGGGCAAATTTTTACTTCTGAGATTTAATACAATGTATATTGTAACTTAATTTATTATGTTATTTGCTTTGATATAAGCTTAGTCTGGTTCAAATACATTATAGTTTTTCTCCAGAGGTAACATACAGTGCATATTGTGCTACAAGTTTTAGACCTCAGTGATAAGTCATCTAAAATGTGATGTATTGCGCCTTTCTTTCCATTTTTGACTCATACAATCTGTTTTCTTAGAAGGGCACAGAAATGGGTTGTTATTATTTGAGCTAATCTAATGCTTTCAAATTGACTGACATCCCATGTTGTCAATTTATTCCTTGAGCATCTGTTAAACATAAAAGTCTATACCATATTTTATCAGAATGAGCAATCCTGACATCTGTAATTAAGCCTCCCCTGTTTCTGCTTTGTTGCCTTTAACGTTCCTGTCGAACAGATTGTACAAATTGCACATTTGTTTACAAAACAGGTCCAGATTGTTCTCTGAACGTCCCTTCCACGGAGTCTTACTGGATTCTCCCAAACGTGAAGCCATTCAGCCCTTCCGTGGGCCGCGCTTCCCACAAGGCCGTCCTACACGGGAAGTTTATGTGGGTGATTGGTGGATACACTTTTAACTACAGTTCCTTCCAAATGGTGTTGAAGTAAGTGATTTCTCCTTTGTAACATCCTTTCTGATGTGGCTTAGGGAAAACAGATCTTACCAGGGAGACAGCTTCTATCTTGTAATTTAATGGAAAGATTTATATGTTTTTAGATTCTTGTTTAATGGTCTTATTTTCTGCTTGTAGTTTTCTTATGATTACAGAAAATGAAAATATGGGCAACATCAAACTGTATGTGATACTAATGTGTAATTTCTTCAGTTTTGTGAAAAACTGCCAAACATATAAATGTTTGTGGTGGTAGAACAGTGAGAGAAATCCATGTGCTGATGTTTTCAAACAGTACATCTCAAATGTTATCTGCATTATTCAAGTTAATTTATGATTATAGGAGACTTGTATTTAGTGCATGCACTTAGTCAGTTGATGACATGCTAGTCGGGTTAGGCAGGTCAACTGTATTTCACTTCTTTATATGTATGATAGTTTGTATGTATGTGTATCTGACCCCCTTTTGAAAATAAAGTTGAAGCAACTGTAAATATTGTGTAGCTGATTTGCATGGTAACTTGTATACATGTAGAGGCTGTAAATGGGGTAAATACAAGTGTTAGGATATGCTCATTGGTATGTTTACTTCTGGTTTTGTCTACCTCTTATTTTCTTCCATACATTTGCAATCATCCAAAACAAATCCCAACTTCTGTGGTATTTTTCTTTTCTACTTCTGTCATTTATTTTTTTTACCTCTCTTCCATCTTGTTGTGTGTTAGTGCATTAAGGGATTAATTTTAATTGTTAATTAAAATGTAATGGAAATTAACCATATAGCTAAGAGGATGCTCAGCAGTAAATTTTCAAAGTAGTGTGAAAATACATGGCATGAGCAGTTTAGTGGGGTGTGTTTTTTATGTATCTGATATCAGTGGGCTTAGCAGCCCAGTGTCATAACTTTCTTATAAATCTGGTGATTTTTATTACACTCCCATTTTCTGAGACTGTTGATGGGTCCCTTAAAGAGCTACTCCTGTTTTGCTTGATGAACATGTGGTACAGTATCACAAGTTAGTGCACTCTTAAAAGTGATCATGTTACTGCTGCAAACAAACTACCATGTGAGAGACACAGTGACTGATCAAGTCTACCAAACAGAAGTTAGTCTGAACATACAAACCCCTCTATTTCTCTGCAGGTGCAAAATGTTTACTCTTCTATTTCTCTTCTAGCTACAATTTGGAAAGCAGTATATGGAATGTAGTACCTGTATCCAAAGGGCCACTCCAGAGATACGGGCACACTCTTGCTTTGTATCAGGTATGGACTCTTCAGCATTCTATATAATGAATTGCTTTGTGTGTGCTGTCAGTGATCTTAAAATGACTCCCCGTGAATTTTTGGGGACAATTTTATTTCTAGTGCATAAATATTTTGTGTTAGTGTCTTCTTCAGTACTTAGATGTATTGCACTTTTTTTGAACAGAGGTTGTGCATTAGATCTAAGTCACTTGTTTGACCACGATCCTCAGAGCTAAACTGCCAATAAAAAGCAGGTGTGTGTGTGATATAATTGGAATTGTGGGCAATGCTCTTGCTGACCAGGCACCATCCCCAGGGTCTGAGCCAAGTGCTGGTAACAGGGTCCTTTGGCAGCCCCAAGATGTGGCAAGGGATGACCCGGGTCTGGGAACTCTTCAGTCAGGAGCACAAGGAGACGGGACTGGAGAGAAGGCTACAACATATGCCTGAGGTATCCATCGGGGAGACAAGCTACAGATGATGACAAACTTGTTAACTGTGACAGAGAACTACAGAACTTGTATCACAAACTTTAATTTGTTTGCATAAGACACCTCCAGCAGGGAAGGACAAAAAGGATTGTATCAGGTCAGACCAGTGTGTTCATCTCGCCTGGTAACATGTCTTGAACAATGGGTAACAGCAAATGCCTAGGGAAGAATATAAGGAAAAATGACAGGAACGTATACAAGCTTCCTCAGAATACTGTCCTATTTTGCAGCTGGGATTTCCTAAAATAAGGTAGTATTTTAGTGAAAAAAATATGAATAAGTTTATTTTTTTCCAAATGTTTGGACCGTATATTTATTTTAGTATTGATATCATCCAGTGCCTAAGAATTCCAGTGTATTTTTTCAAGAAATACCACCTTTTGAGTACTGACACTAGATGGTTTAAATTTGATAATCTCCACTTTTTAATCTCCATTTTATTTTCTCTGTACTACTCATGATTTTCTGTAAGTTCATCACATGCTCTCTCTATCATTTCTTTTTCAAACTGATAATTTCTTGTATTTTTAACAATCATCTATAGGGAAGATATTTCATACCTTGGATAACATTGTGTCATTGCCTCTACCTCTTCTAATTCTGTTATATCCCTTCTGAGATAGGGGAAATCACAGTCTTTAGTGAATTCTTACCTCAGAGATTGACATCAATGAATTAGTTAATTTGTTCTATTAATTCTTTAGGGTATTTTAGCTTTTTGAAAATCTGCTGTTGGCTTTAAACTGGTATTTTCAGAGAACTGTCAGTTATAACCTCAAGATCTCATTCTAGTCAATTCAAAACCCATCCCTGACCCATCCCCTGTAAAGACTTAAAATTGTTTTTTTCACATATGCATATTTTCATGCTTACGTACATGAACATTAATTTACCCTTTTTTTTTGTTCTTGTATTGCACATTCAGTATTAGGAGATTCTTCTGCAATTCCTTGCTTTTGATCATTGCCTCAGCTATTTTGAGTAACACAGTATTGTCAAAAAGCATTGCCATTTTTCCTCTCATAACTCTGCCAACTTGTTTTTCAGTATATTGAACAAATAAATCCCAATTGTAGATCTCTGTGGGACACCACTAATGACCTTTATTCATTTAAGAAGTAGCTACTTTTTCCCTCGCAAACTTTATTGACTTATTTAGCCTGGTGTTATCTGCCTTGCTTGTCCCAGGGCATCTTAGTTTCTTTAGGGCATGAGGAATGTTCTGAAGCATCCATGAAATTTTAGATAAATGTGTCAAGTGGACCTTTGATTCCTTCAGGAAAAGCCAATGATTTGCAAGATATAGCTTCCCTTTTCAGAAGTTCATAGCATTTTCCTCAATTTGCTTGCTTTATTCACTGAATTCTGGCCTTTCTGCCTCTTCCTTATCAGTCTTCTGGTATGGACCCATTTTTAAGCAGGAATTTACATACTACAGACAGGGGTCAGCTGTTTCGTTCTTAAATTCCTTCAGAACTAATCCTGGTGACTTTTTTGCCGTTTTTTTCCCCCACTACTTTAACCTTGTGTTTTTGATTTTTGTTATGGAAATACCTGTGAAGTCTGCCATGAAGGACTCACGTGGAAAAGTTAACCTCACTTTGTTGCTATGGCTTTATCTTCTCAGAATACTCATTCAGACTGTCTGTTGGCACCACAAAGTATCTAGTTGGCTGTATTGCTAATGCATTTGAAAAATGATATATTAGTACTTTAGATATAAATTTTGCAGGTAGCTCATTAAACTGTTTCATACCTTACCTTTATGTGTGTCTGTTTTAGTCTGCTGGAGTTTTGAACCTGTATTTCAAAAAGCCTTTATTTCTTCTAAGTCTCCATTATCCTTCTGCTAAGTTGAGCTTTATTTTGTTATTTGTAATGGGAAAATTTGTGGGTTTTTCTTTAAATAGGAAGCATTCATGTGATCTGAGCAGATGTCCTCGAAATGTCTTCATATTGTCATTAAAGATTTTACCCTTTTAGTTGTACGTTTTAGTTTCTTTTTATGTTTGGGTCTTCCTTTGTATAGTGCTTTCTGTGAAGTCAAGCAGAATAGAAGGCGTGGGTGGATATTTTGTTTTGTTTTCCTGGCATCTGTTGTTCTTCCAGAGATGTTGAATCTGTACATGGCATGTTTAATATTGTAGAGGTGTTTTCAGTAGCAATATGAACTAAATTTTGTGGATGCCCCAACATCAACTCAAAAATTGCTTTTCTTCTCATCTGTTCCCTGATTCATTACTAATGCATTATCTATTCTTTGAAAGCTCAGATCTTTCTGACTGGTGTCTTTGGTTATCTACACTTCTTGTAGAATGTGGACCTTTTAGTTCAGAAACATGCGAGTAATGTATCATTTAGCAGATCAGAAGAAAGGCTTAAAATATCATTTCACCTTTTTATTTGACAGTGCTAATATTTTCTTGAGACATTCCATTCTAGAAATACTTTTACCAGAAAATATTAAATATAATAGACCTGTGTTAATTCAGAAATCTCTTTGGGTCTCAGTGAGGAAATGCAACTCTTGTTAACAATAATGAAAGCTACAAGCAAGTGTGTACCGAAGAAGATGTTGCTTGTTGTTGAAGACATGTTAATTAGCAATCAGTATTCACTAATAAAGAACTTATGTGGAATAATTAACTAATATGCTGATTTTAGTGATTATGTCAAATGTCAAAAATTACATGGGCCAAAAGAAGCTGACCATGCAAGTAGAAGAAATGTATCCTCCTGCAATAAGTTCTTAAATTAACTTACTAGGATAAACTTTTGATGTTTTTCCTTTTAGATCTTCAGTCTCTTGAAAAAACAGAAAAATAGTTTACAATGAAGAGTAGTAGAACATAATACCTAAAGATGGCAGCTTTGAGCTGTGTTTTGAGCTGCATATTAGTAATTGTGTAACGTTTCCTTTATGGTTGAGAGAAAAAAATATCCACGGAGAAGAAATTAGATTAAGTTTTTGACTTGAGCTCCTGAGATTTCAAAGCCTAGTGCTAGGCTGGAGTGAGAGTGCAGAGCTAGCATTGCCTGATTGTGGTGCAAGGTAAAAACTGAAACCATGTGATTGACTCTGTGGAGAATGAAATAAGTTACTGTGCCTATTTCTCTCAGAAAGCTTCTTTAGTTAAAATTGAAGTACCGTTCTTCTTTATTCTGAAGAAAAAAGATCAGAAGACTTCCACTGATGTATAGTTATTAATAAGTGACTAAGGCTTTTTATGCATTTGTAGAGGAGAGAGTATAAAAGTGCTCTTGCTTTGAGACCAACTAAACTCTTAGTATTACCTTCGGTGCCTCTTTAGTCTGGTTATTGGAAAGGTGCTATTTATTTGTTAGCAATTGGTTCTACTCTATCTCAGAAATTGTATATAGGTCCAGGCATCTTGGTACTGAAAATATCAACATACTTCGAAATAATTTATGTAAGAAATAGGATTGTAAAGATACTGAAGGAAATGTGAGGTTTTTAAAGTAGGCACATACAGCTTTGCTAAACAGTGACTAGGTAGGGAGTTAGAGAGTAAATTGCAAAATCACTGGAATCGAGTAGAAAGGGAGTTCCCTACAAGGTGTGTATATGGTCACTGCTGGGAATTTACTCAGTAGTGAGTTTGTGGTTTTATCACAGAAGTTGGTCTCGTAATTAAACTTTTCCTAATAGCCCCAAGACAATGGAAGGATGACTGGGCTTTGAGATTTGTTTCCTTCAAGACTGGCAATAGAAATGAAGCAGACAGGCTGATGTAGTAGCAATAATAAAGATATTTTACAGTATACAAGCCATTTTATATGTAGTTGAATTAAATTAAACTCATTGGAGTTTTATGAATGTTACTTCCACTTTTAAAACTTTCTTTAAAAAGGGTATTATTTTGATTCCTTTTTCAAATAATTGGTATTGATGTTGAGTCTACATATCTTGTGATGTTTTTTATTAGTCTTATCAAAAACTAGCATTAAAACAAAAAAGAGCAAAAACTTTTCCTCCTTTAATATGAATGAGATAAAATCTTTCACCAATTGTTTTATTGTTATTCTTTTAAAACCTATTTTTGTTGGCTATTGTAGTATAATTTGAGCAGCACTAGGAATTTCAAAGTATTTTCTGCCTGTTTTATTAGTAGGTATTTGTACCACCTAGTTTTATTGTTTCAATACTTTTAATTACATCTTATACACAATTTGCTTTCTAGTTCTGATTTGCAGAGCTCAAAAGTATGAGAAATAGGTAAGATGAGCTGTCATACACTTTTGCATGTAGTCTGGACAAAAGCCTATTCAGTGTTCCCTTCGATTAACCAGACCTAATTCATCAAGTGATTGGTTCTTTATGTAGAAGTGCAATATTTTTCATTTGTTGTTTCAAGATTTTATTCCAATTGGTTTGAAAGTGAAATCCAAGTATCGTCAGCTCAATTAATACCTTTAAATATATCCAGCAACCATGTGGAAAACTGCAAATAATGAAGGCATAATGTGGCAGCATTCTCGATTAAGCTAATGTCCTGACATACAAAT